AGCCTCTGAAAGAAGGGAAACTTTTGTTAAACCCACATGCGCATGATGCACGTCTAATGCGTCATGGACGTTCTTAGATGCTACAAAATGCACATACATCTCGCTGATCTTGAACCTTTTCTCCCAGCAAAAGCACAGGCTCAGATCACCTGCATTGATGTTTAAGTCGCTGCAGAGAACTTCAAAGGATTTAATTAGTCTTCGAGCGCCGGCGCGGGACCAAACGTCGCCTGACTGGCAGCCGGCAACGCGGCGCTAGGCGAGCGCGGGGTTGGCTCGGCGAGGCGGGCCCGCCCGGCGCGCGGCTCGGCGACCGCCAGCCGCCTACGTGACCGGTCCGATCGGCCGTTCTTTCCGACCGCGGGACGGTCGATGCCGGTGGCTCGCAGTTAATGTGTTTGGCTGCGAACGCCCAGAGATAAACCCGACAACAATGCGCTCGGCCAAGCGTTCAAATCAGCCAATGAGAAGATAAAGAAGCACAATATTTCTTGCGCACCAGCGGTGCGTGATCGCCGCTGGTGGTGCTGCGGGACACGGACAAGGCGCCGACTCCGCGCGGCGGAAAACCGTGGGGCTGAGCACGTGCCGGTTGCGAACGCGGCCGCGACCGTCGCGCTCATCCTGGGATGACGTGGCAGCTCAGACTGGCTGAGAAGATCGACCTCTGCATGGGAGTCGCCGCACGGTACTTCGCCGGTCGTTTTTTTCCGCTACAGCTCACGTGCTGTAGTTTGATCGTTCGGTTTTTATTAGAGACATTTACTACGATCAAAATTCTTGTTTGATCGTAAACATCGCTGGTGTCACCATTCATAGCCAGCAGCGCCTGATTTTAAAAAGGAGCTGCACCCCGCATGGCTGAGGCGGTCATCAGAAGCCGGGAAAATCGGGTCCACTGGGTGTGAGCTGAAAGATATCAGTACACTTCATGTTCTAAAGGAGGAATCCCGCTCAGGATTTTTCGGATTGTTAGCAATAAGCGATAGCGAATTATCTGCTGGATGCGAGCGGGAACTGGTTAAGCCCTCACTGCTGGAACTGACAAGGTGGGTGCGGCGCAGGGCGGCCTCGTCCTGGCACGTGGCACGCTAAAATATGTCGGCCAAAGTTGATCATTATCCTGCGGCGTCACTGGGCCAGGGTGATTGGCTCATGGAATTCGCAGCAAGCTTTGCTTGACAAGAGCCATGACACCGAAGCCGTCCCTGCGAAATATTCGATAACAGATATAGCGACGCAGGCTGCTGAATACAGACAGGTTACGGCGTTGTTCTGTGATGATGTACGGATAAAGCATTCCAGTATCAACAATGCCGGTGTCACTTAGTTTAATCAGGTCGTCTTGGTGCGCTGCGTGTCATTAATCAGCACGTACCGTGGAAAGAACTCAGTAGGCTCGTACTCGAGTAGAGCGTGACTTTGTTAGCACACCGTGATCCTTGTCCAGTCAAGAACTCCGCCACCCACCCCATCACGAAACCGTATCTCTCGGGCATGCTTGACGAGCGACTGGTTCTCCCGCTTTCCCTGTCTCAACGGGGCGTCCGTCCCTCTCGCTGTCGTCAGACCACCACCCCGCACCCGGCCCTGACCCCGGACGGCCGCGGGAGACGTCCGGCCGGGGGCGGTCCGGGCCCGTGACCCGTCGCGCCGGAGGACGCCGGCCTCTTCCTGCGCCTCCGCGCGGCACCTGTGCTCATTGATCGGACGGCGCGGGGCGGCGGCCGGACAGTCCGCGTGTCGCGCTCGACCCCCGCAGACGCCGGCCGCCGCGCTCCGTTGCCGCCGACGCTCCGCCGCTAGTCGGCCCCGTCGTTACCGACGGCCGCGGCGGCCGTTCGTTAATCGTCTCCGACGCGGGGCGCGGCGGGGCGACGCGGCTGACTGGTGACGTGCCGCGCAGTCTGCGGCAGCGGCGCCGACGACATGGGCTGGCGGCGCGGCGTTCTGCTCGGGCTCGGCCTCGGCCTCTGCCTGTTGGGTGAGTGCGCCGGGTGCTCGGTGTCTGCAGGTTGGGTGAGTGTGTCAAGTGCTCGGTGTCTGCCGGCTGGGTGAGTGTCGAGTGCTCGGTCTCTGCCTGCTGCGGAAGGATGTCTCTGCCTTCTGTGTCTCTGCCTGCCGCGTGAGAGTGCTCGGTGTCTGCCGGCTGGGTGAGTGTGTCGAGTGTTCGGTGTCTGCCGGTTGGGTGCGTGTGTCGAATGCTCCCTCTCGGCCTGCTGGGTGAGCGCTCTGTGTGTTCAGTGTCTGTCGGCTGGGCGAGTGTCCTGAGTGCTCGGTCTCTGCGTTCTGGATGAGCGTATCGAGGGGCTGCCACAGCTTAGAAATACTGTGGCCGCGGAGTCAGCCAGGTACATTCGTCGGCAGTCGAAAGTGCTCACCGGTGCAGTGACCGTCTTACCAGGAAGTGAACTTTGCAATTTAGGAATCGCGGTGAGTTTTGAGTATCCTCACTGTCAGAATACGCGTTCGTAATGTCCACCCTGAGCAATGGGCGCCCTGTAATCAACTATGGGTTTTGCTGTGACTAATGGCCCTGGATGGCACGGTAACTCACTTAAAACTACTCGGATGTGGCACACCGCTTAGCTTAAGAGACTTTCCAAGCTGAGTATGGGAAAATTGGAGAAGTTTCGGTGGGACGTATTTAGGGGTCTACGGCTACCAATTTATTTACATATTAATCATCTTTGATGGCTTTCCTAACTGGCAAAAGGACGGTTTATCGGTGCTTTTGAGCACTTGAGTGCCCCGAACTGGCTGGCTGCTGGCATTCTGTTGCATAAAATTGCAATTATAGGATTATCTGTTTTGGATATTTGAGACGGTTATGGCGGTATTTTGATCGTTAGAATTTCGAATTGCGTGGCAACTTTTAGTCGCACATGCTTTGATGCTTACCACCCCTGTGTCTATCAACATTACGATCACGGTTTCAACACAGTGCATTATCAACTTGCTACATTGGATATGGTGTAATCTGCGCCTAGGGACTGACTTGAATAGCATAATCTATTGGTATGCGGCAGAAGATATGACGTTAATCTAGTAACCAAATTGAATCGAATCACCTGCATTATGCACACCGTGTAAAGCATAGCTTTTTAACATGGAACCAGTTTGAAACTGGCATATCATGGGTCGTTTTTCTGCCCAAACAACACCGGCCGAAAGTGCACAGATTGAAACACGGTATGTGGCTATTATGTATGCCTTAGATAACATCAGAGATAGCTGTGTGCATGTAGAGCAAGAGTCAGCAGCGGAAGGCAATGCAAATATCCTTTTTCAGTGTGGATGTGAACTGTTAGGATAGGTTAGCTTAATCATCCGTGATTTTCCGAGCTATCATCTGGTGTAGACATTTGCAATTATTTTTGCGTCAAATAATGTGACTTTCAGAACTCAGGATAAATTTTTCGCTTGGAATTCACTCTTGAAGGCCGAACTAGATAGGAAGAGTGACTCCACATGCCCGTTGTAAATGCGAGGTTAACGCATAGTGCGTTGGTTGGTCGATGATCTGAGAGGTGTGTATTCACATAAGCCCCGAAAAGAAACCGTGCCAAATATAGCTGATTGTTGAGTCTACAACGGAGCGTGGAACTTAAACTGGTAATACTACTTCAACAATATTGCCGGATGGCCGGCGCGGACCAAACCACCGCCTCACTTACAAACCTCGTGAGGCACGCTGCCAAGACGGATCGAATTGTGATTACCCAAGTTTAAAGCAATCGCTTTCCTGTTCTGCACGCGCCAAGCTGCTGCCAAATCACGTCACCGAGTTGTGAACTCACCGCCGAGGTTCGGGACCCGGCCTCGCCCACTCGGCGGCCTAGAGCTCGGTCAGTCCGCTCAGGTGCCTCCTCCGCTATGGCCCCGCTGAATGCCCCGCTAGACACCAGCCGCCTCGCAAAAGGTCAAAGGCTCGAGTTATTTACCAAAGAGGGTCAAGTTACTTACCATTTTACTTTGGATGCTCATGATGGTGACATATCACTTATACCGACAGCTTCAATCATGTTAGCCTTCTATAGCCATCAATCACACTTTGTCTAGATAGTGGTGTTGGAACCTAGGATGCTATGCTTGAAATCTTTTTACGACAGTCTTTTAAATCTCTGCCTCTTGAACTACCTGTACACAGCCGTGCGGCGATGGATGTTGTTGAATGGCATACAACGCGTTCTCTGCAAGCTGCAGAATCCCGGTGGGTTCAAGAAATGAATGCTGTTGCGCGTTACTTAAGATGTCTCGACACTTTGATATGAAATGGTAAGCACCAGGTTTCCCTGTAGTTGCCGCTGTTTACAGTTCTGAGAGCGATACCACGTATTTTCTTGTCATCCTTCCAAGCTGGCTCCATAATGCTTTTGTGAAAAGTTTGTCATTGGTTGTTAACCCCCGTTTCCTCTTGTCTGGGCTGTGGTGCGCATCCATAATCTTCTCACAAATAAGACAGAAATATGTGTTGTTATAGGTTTACTGACGAGACGTCCTCCATGGTCTAGATAAATGGAAGTGAGAGGTGCCAACCAATCGCAACCCACTTTCTAAAAGGATGGGAAGCTCTTCCACAGCGCTGCTCCTAATAATGGCTGGCCGCGGCAATTACAGCATTATTAAGCTTCGTGTATGGTACTGTTATCAGATATTTGCCATCAAATCCACCAGATGTTTTCTTATGTATTACGGGACTACATTCATTGGCTACTAACCGCTTGAATTAGCTATATAGTGTACATATTTGCTTGTACCCACGCGGACTCCGCGACCCAAAAGCACGCCATATAGGTCATCCAACAACATCGCTAAGTAGGCTTCTAACGACGAACCTGCAGAGCGGCGACCGTCTAGACGAATATCTGGGACCATGGCAAGACGAATGCCTGACGAGTAGCAACCTCGTCTCTAACGCCCCTATCTTGGCTAGGTGTGATGGCTGGAAGAAGCCGTCCACCTTAGAAGTTGTTCATGTAGGAGATATATCGCCCATCATGAACAAGCAGAGGAGCATGGTGGACGCCTTGTATCCCTGTGGTGGGCGTTAGAGGCATAAATAAGCATTCCCAGTAGAACAAATAACACGCCGCGGTTCAAGGCACCTACACCAGTCAGTCATGGATGCAATATTGATGATGCTCGCTCACTC